GGGGGGGGGGGGGGTGAATTGTGCTGGTTAAATTTGCCCATTTCCATTGCGTTCGATAACAGAAAGACATGCACATTTAGAGTTATAACTGGATAAGTTGACGATGAAGTTGACTGAGGAGTTTTGATTATTCGAGGAGGGGAATAACTTTGCGAGGCCATTTACGGCGAGGGGAGCTGCACAATATATCACTCAAAAGTGATTGAATTCGGGGGCAATTGTCCAATTGCTCTGATTTCATGCAGTTGTTGGACGACACATCGAACGATATAATTCAGCGGTCCTATAAAATTTGATTGAACTCTTGATTACAAATTTTGCAATGGATCATTTGTAACGCGGAGTTAATCACTATCCAAGGAGAAGCGAGCGGTGATTTTAAAATTCTCACTATTTTTCATGAGATTCGGATATTATCGATGATCGCCACTCTGCATTCAGCACGAGGGAATGGGAAGCCGATGAAAAACCGATAACAGTGACTTATTGTAACATCTCATGCATCTTCCAGTGTTTTTGTCCTTGTCGCGCTGTGGGAAAGAAAAGGATTGGAGAATGGGCTATTGATGAGGAGGTGACAAAAAATGTAAACAAATTATTCTTCGTCAGAGATGAATTTTGGAAATTGCTCTCATTTCCCTCTGTTCAATTTACTTTTTTCAATTGGTCGAAGAGAAAAAATGAAAAAAAATGAAAATTCTCTGGTTTTTTTTTTTTGTAAATAGCCAAGAAAAACAAAAATTTCACTTTCCCCCAAACTTTCTCCGCTGTGTGCGATCCTTCCGATGTCTCTGACCCCATACAACTCCATCCCCCGGCAAAACACATGCACAAGCATCTCCCACCCTCTCTGAAAACTTGAGAGCAGAGGAAAACCAAAACAGACCGCCATTTGGAAAAATCAAAAAATAACAAAAATCGTGGATGAAAAAAAAATAATCCAGGATAGAGAGAAAAGAATGGGTCTCTGCCTCCTTCCGATAGCTCCTCCCCTTTTTTCACTCTTGTGTCTCCTAAATAAAAGGAGCGAGACAGAAGAATGAGGAAATAGTCTCTTCTCCGTCGTGCCGAGTGCGTATGTACCCGGGAGCGACAGAAATTGGTACGAGCGAGAGAGAAAAAGTTAGTGGCATCCCTGTCATGTCCCTCTCTGCCCCGCGGTTCAACCCCTCCCCTTGCGCTCGAATTTTTTTCAAGAGATGGGATGGATGGTGGTACGTTTGGCAAAATGAGGAAGTAGGAGAGAGAAAATTCGACGTTTCTAGGGCTTTGACAAGGATGGTGGATCTCTTTCAAGAGGGTGGAAATTCAGGGGTGGGGATAGAGCAGCGGTGGGTGGCGGAGGGTGGAGGGGTGGGCACAGCAGCACCAGGAGGCCGAGGCTGCGGCGTACCCTCTCAGTGTCGGCGCAGTGGCCGGGCATTCGTGTCGCATGTCCGAGGATCCCGAATCACCGGGATTCTGAATTACCGTTTTTTTTCATCCACTCGTACACGAGAATAATAAAATATAATATTATTATTTTTTTTTATTTTTTCCGGGGAAATCAACATGAGAGAAAAAATCGAGGGAATGCTCGGGGATCAAGGGTGATTTTTTTTTTTTCAAGATATTTTTCTTCTTTCGGTCGGTAGAGGAAAAAGAAAATTGTCGCATTCTGACGGGAGTTTTTTTTTAGTTTTCTGGGGGTGAGGACACTCGAGACTCTTCACGTTTCAAGGGAAGTGATTAGTGTTGAGCGCGATGTATCGGGGGTAATTTTTGGGGGGTTGAATGCTAGTGGATATGTTGTTGCTGGTATTTTTAGTTTGGTTTGGATTTTTTTTCGGGAATTTAAGGCGAGAGAAAAATATGTAATTTTTCTTTTATGTGAAAAATGTGAGATCATGGTGATTGATGATTGTCTGATTGTTAGACTTTCGGTGTTTAAAAATCAGTGATAAATGTTTAACAACGTTGGACGATTAATTGTTTACTGGGTGCTGATGAGTATTTAGTTTTTTCCGTGATTTAACGTGCAAACAGCGAGAGCCAAGAGGAATAAGTAAATAAAGTAACTGTGTGGTCGGACATACACGAGGGCGGGTGGATATTGTGAAGAAGGAAGAAGTCATGCCGCCCGGGCGAGCTTGCCTCGATTCCCCCAGGACCACTGCGCTCCTTTCGAGCACTCGTTACAGAATATAATTCAAATGCGTTGTTTCAACTGAACGGAAAATAAAAAGGTACAAATAATGGAAAGAAAGCCCTCACCAACTACTCTTTGTTTCAGTATTTATTTTTATTACATGGCATATCGCGCATTATGTACACAATATTTTACCCTCGACACTTGCAATGTCCTTATGTTCATCTCCAACTGTACTGGACGCATATACATGCTGGATCATCCTCTCTCCAGTTGTGTACTTGTTTCGTTTGTGGCTGTGTGCAATGGAAGCGCGCGCATTTTTTTTCTCACTCGTGGCTACCAAAGTTTTTTAGACCAGTGACTTTTTTTTTTCCTCTTGTTACCTGCCTCCCACCTTTTTTTCTCTCTCCCATTCAACGCTGGACTTGATTTTTTTAAAAGCATCGGGGTGTATGGAAAATTGTAGTCCAGAGAACGGAAAAGGAATTTTAATATAATTAGGTCATTTTTTTTCTTCTTTGTGGGAATCTTGGGGGAAGAAGAAAATGTAAGTTTTTTCATTGTAATTTGACGTCGAGAACGTGATTAATAATTTTTCTCATTTACGAACTTGTTTGAGAAAAAAGTGAACCCATTTTGCTCCAATAATTTTTATAATACATGATGAACAACAAATCATTAATAATAATATTCTAGATTTATGAATACAATTTTCCCCCTGAGAGATCGAATAAATTGAAATATTATTACGAGTAATTTGAATATACACTCATCAAAATGCATGGAAACATCCGCAAATATTTCACTTAATATTCAATAAATAATTGAATTCACCGACGATTATACTTTAATTAAACTGATTCCCATAAATTCAATATTAAACAATGAATTGAGTCGAAATTCCACTCATTCTCCCTCTTTTTTTGAATTAAAAATAACCACGAATCGAATGAAAAAAAAAAAGCGCCTCCAGGCTCTTTATTTCCACTTTAATGACTTGGCCTATATATAACAAAACGAGATGTGAAAAGGGGAATAGAGTGAGAGAAATAGTGTAATGAAGCTGAGTTACCTACTTTAAATAATAAATGCTTATGACAGGGTAATATCAATGCACCCGGCGAATTTCTCAGTTTGTGAGAGTAAAATATAGAGGAAGAGGGTACCTGGGTAAATAGTCGCTGAGGGGACGATAACACGTTTCAAGTTCGTTATCATCTGACAGTAGATGGAGAAACTGGGTAAAATCGAAGAAAGGTTACTCCAAAACAGAGCTGAGAGTCGAGTAGTTTGGAGTGAATATCATCCGCCCACTGGGTATTTTATCTATTGCAGTTTAGAGTCATCATAAAATGTTCGCAAACACTTTTTATCTCCAGCTTTTTTTTCTCTCTCACGTTAACATTTATAGGGCCATTCTAGTCAATTACGATCAATCGAGAGAAATTGAAACATTCCATTTACTTTGATTGAATCATTCGTTGGAGGGGATTGTAATTTTCAAAAAGAACTTTCCAGGGAGAATACCGGAATCGAATGATAAATCAACAATCAATATAAAGCATAAAGAAAAAAAATATTGTGCGATGAGCATCCCCCAATAACTCAAAATTATCAAATAATTGATAGAATTTTAAATAGGTAATTGGACAAATCGTTGGAGCGATAGAGGGCCATGTTAATGCTTGTGTAAGCGGTGCTCCAAAATCCATTGGTAATTTCGAGTTATCCCCCACGGTAACAACTGCATCTCGCACCTGTTGTGGTCCATAGCATCGACGATTTACGATCTGTCGTCTGTATGCGATGTACAGCAACAACAAAACGCACATACGTGGGATGATGGAAGTGGATATGAGACCCCATGTTATTTGGGTATACAAGGCACAATGCTATTTTCGTGTTACCGTCGCTAGTCACACGATGATTCAGGGGGCTAATTATATTTCACTATGTGTTTTTCATTCTTTTTGATGACGTTGGGCAATTTGGAGGTGAGTGAAGAGCTCTCGAGACACTTTTCCTGGGTTATTGCCACGTCAATTCAGTTATGTAAGAATTTTTCTTCACCCCAGACTTTATGTTATACCAAGTTGGAGATGTTGATCGAAGATGCTGATAAACACTCATTCATCTCCATCTCACGCATAATAAAATCACCAATTTCCGAGAAACTTTTGATGGAAATCGCTCATTAACTCCTCAACAGTTAGTGGAAATTATTTTCACTCGTTGGAAGGGGCTATTCTCTCCATTTGGCTCGATATATCCATCAGCATGGAAAAACCAAATTTCTCACTCACTCTATTCACTTTTTAGTCATATGTCGAGGTGCATTCGACCAAAACCGATTCATTGCCTGTGGTTTCCACCCGGATATTTCCTTGACTATCCAATGAACCCATTTTCATCGCCCCATTCATTTACGCTACGCCGATAATCAATTCCCTTGAATTGGAAAATTGTTTTTTTTTTCATGTAACACATGGTATTCATATTTTCAATTAAAAAATGATCATTTCTCCACAAGATGCCCAGAAAATTTGACTTCACAAGTGTTCTTCATTCAACCGACTGGTGAATTTTAGTTGATTAAAAATTGTTCGTGTAATGAAATTTGTTCTTGCAAATAACACAATTTTACACTGAAATAAATTTATTCTCTGCCTTTGCTTTTTTCTATAATTACTCGATTCCAAAAATTGTTTAGAAGTTTAAAAAAGTGTAACGACTCAGAAAAAAACTTTTCATTGAAAAAGTTTGTCGGTGTCGTATTGATAGAAACGTTGGTGAGGGCAACTCTTGGCACAATGTAGTCAAAACTTTTCATGAAATTCTCGTTCTTTTGACGGTTTTCTTCTGTCTCAATTCCCGGGCAATTCATCTCTTTGTGCTCTATTGCCGTTCGTCCGTCTCTCCACCCCGTGACATTTACCTCTCCCCAATCCCTGCCCCTCTCCTCTTTGCCCACCATTTAATGCCGTTCGTTTAATTAATTTACAGATAAAAAAAGGGGACGCAGAAGGGGGTGGGGGGGGGG